AGTAACAATGATTCTTTTTTTTTTTTTTGCGGGTGAATATTGCATTAACAATTTTTGAAAATGACAATGATTTTTCCAAATACAAGTCCTACAATTTAACCCATAGCTGGAGGAGACAGTGGATTAATACCTTTCCAAAGAGTATTTGTGTGTAAGTGAATGTTACAAACCTGAATAGAATTCACTCTACTCTCTGATTGCTTATTCTGAGCCATTATCCATTATACCACCCATACATCCACAGGAAAAAGCCATGTATCTCTTTGGATATGACACTCTGAAGAAATCAATGACTGAATTTGTTACAATACAGACAGACATTATTTACATTAGTCGGACTATTGTCCTCATCTTTGTCGCCATATTTGTGACAACGTTTAGGCCGTTGTACGCTTCGGCCTTCTTCAGGTGGTTGGAATTTCAAACAACATACAACGGCCAAAACGTTGTGACAAATATGGCAACAAAGATGAGGACAATAGTCCGACTAATGTAAATACTGTACATAATACCTCATCTCAGAAATATAGACAGACAGACATGTTTCAAAGATTCAAACAAGATATGAAAAATAAGATATTATTTGTGATATATAATTTTAATTATTTCACCCCAAGCATGAACGATAAAAGTGAAATGAAGCAGACAGAAGATAACAAGTGGCATTGAATTTAAATTTTGAAGATCAATGTTGGCTGGGAAGTAAGAAGTCAGAAGAGATTTCCACAAGTGCAAAAAAAAAAGAAACTGTTAGCATAGAACTTATGGTTACATCTAGCCAATTCAACTGTAAAATGATAAGACCTCATTACCAATCTAGTAAAGTGTTTAAATTCATAAAGTCTAGGTATCATAGAAGAAAGTTCATCAGAACAATTACCATGAAAGTATTTATATAAAAGGTACAGGGAAGCTACATTATGGTGGTAGGAAAGTGACTGAAGACTGAATGCCACGTCAGGACCAGTAACATTGCAGATTCTTTGGATTTTATCAAGAATATCTCTCTCTCTCTCTATCTATATATATATATATAAAAACAGTGTATTTGAGCACTAATTTTTCATTTATACAAATTTGATTAACAACCAATGAAAGTTCTTTGTTTATTTTTTTTCAATATTTCTTAATATTTTTTTATTTCTGGTTGGTATTGGTAAATAAAACTTCCTATCTATAAATAATTTTGAATCCCCACATAAATGCATGAAGTTTATTTATTTGAAAATTATAACATAAATATGTTATAAAATCACTACAAAAATAGCCATTTTGTTTCAACACTTCCGGTGTCTTATCAATAACACCATCACTTGATAAGACACCAGAAGTGTTGAAACAAAATGGCTATTTTTTGTAGTGATTTTATAACATATTTATGTTATAATTTTCAAATAAATAATTATATATATATATATATATTGCACATTGAGTGCTGGCGTTAATAAAATAGTGCTCAATATAATATAACAGATCTATAAATTATATATTAATAATAAATATTCATTTTTTTTCTTCACCAGTAGCACAACTCTGAGTTTCATGCACAACACAATTTTCAATTCAGCACCTAAATATTGCATTGTGTATGAAACTAAGTCACGCTTCTAGTAAGGAAAAAAAAAAATATATATATATATATATATATATATATATATATATATATATATATATATATATATATCTCTATCACTGACATTGATAGCTTTCAATCATCACTGCACATATATAAAAATATATATATATATATATATATATATATATATATATATATATATATATATATATATATAATTTCTTACATGAAGCATTGTCAATTATGAATTTTTCAACTTCTTTCATCTTAATTTCAGTTAGTCTTTATGTCGACTCTCAGACAGTTATTGTAAGGTTGTGAGCAAGCAATCCAGATTGGAAATACTAAGTCTCTAGTGAGACTTCACATCTTTTCCTATAAGAATCTTTTCTTATTGCAGCAGCTGTCTTACTGATTAGTCAATGGAGCCTACTGTCAGCATTCAAATCTAACCATTTGGCCCCTTTTTACTGGCAAATTAATTTTCATTTCTGATCAGCATTATTTTAGTAATAGCTGTAGAATGATAGTATGAGAGTTGCAAGGAAAAACGAGCAACAAAAGAAATACTAATCAGAAAGTAATCATAAATAAGTTGATATTTTAATTTAATACATCAAAGATATAAAATGCAAATATAACATAATTTAACTTATTTTTTTATGTTAATGGTATTGTTAAACTAAACACAGTGCTTCAGCCAATCCATTCTAAAACCTTCTTCAGGTGTACAATTCATAAGGAAAAAGAACAAATTTTCTTCTTTTATTTTAAACAACCAATCTACTCTGTATCACCTATTTACTATTATTTGTTTCTTACAGAGAATTGTCTAACAAAAGATTATATGCAAATGTATAAAAGTTACAAAGCAGTCAACTATTCTCTTAAAATAAGGTGTAGGAAGAAGGCCATATCCAAAAAAGTCTATATTTGGAGAGATAGAGAAGGGCATATATTGGTGACAAGGATGGTGTTGTCTATGTGGCTTATATTGCTGGAAATGAATCAATTGATATATTCGTGACCATTGGCTGTTTTCCATCTTGTGAGATGGCGATGTTAGGTTGTTGACTAGAAACCCCTTTATTCAGACAAAGCACACAAAAAAATAACTCTTTTTAAATGTATAAATAAAAAAATGTTATGAATTAAAATAAGAGAATATGTAATCATAAATTAATCTTTAAAGGTTTTTTCATTTAAAATAAGTTGTCTTTTGATTTATCCTTTAAAATTGTTTAATGTTTAGTTTATCTGTGGTAAATTTCTTTTTTTTTTCTTTCACTTTTAAAAGCTACAGCTTCAAATCAAATGCTTAGTGTTTTTTTTTTTTCATTTCTGAGTTTCCCCTGCTCATTGTGCAAACAAAAAAAAAGCGATATTCTATTTTTTACCTTTTTAGATTGTGCAAAGAAAAGAATATATAAAGAAAGAATATTTAATTTAAAAATCATCAGGAATATATATTTTTTACAGTGAATCGTCTATCTATTCCCTCCACTCACATTTCCAAAGAAATCGTAAATATCGGTTTAAATTTATATCCATAGGTGTGACTTTTTTTTTTACTGTGATTATTTTTGCACGAAAGGTTTCAGAATAAAAATGCGATATTATGTGAAAGAACAATGAAAATTGGTTGAGTCAATAAATGTGACTAGCTAAGTAATGATGGTCCACTCCAGGGACAGTGAAGAAGACCAACATTCCAGCAACTTCCTAATCTCCCAATGTTCGGCATCGTGTCATATTTTTTGTTATTACAAAATTGCTGTTTTGAGAAATAAGTGTGATGATCGTATTTAATTTTTGTATGGCTTTTTGACAAACCTTAAAAATGCTAGCTAAGTTTTTGTTACTTAGAGACACTTTTCAATTTTTTTTCATTATTATTAGTTTTTAATATTTATTTTATGTAATTATCTCTTTTTTTTATTTCAATACTTTAGGATTTGAGCATTTAAACAACGAGCATTATTCCTTAGTTTAATTAATAAAAATCGGAAAAACTGGGTAGTTAGTTTCATTGTGTTGGATTGGAATGAATAAAGAAAAAAGATGGGGTCAACAAAGGAGGTGCGCTGGACTGCTGCTTTTCATAAGGCTAATTACACTATCTTTCCTTTTTAACCTTTACAAGGCTAAAAAAAAAAAAAAAGTAAATAGAATATTTCTCATGAGGAGGAGGGAAAAAAGTTATTTTTATTGATTTCCTTTTTAACAACCACCTCTTCATTTCGAGAGAGAGAGAGACTAAAATAAAATGATTTTCTAGACTAAAAATCATTGACCGTTTTTTTCTCTTTCTTAGCCTAGTTGAGTAGCCCAGCCCATTTCTCCTTAAAATGTAACTTGAACTTTTTTTTCTCTTTGCAAAGCTTACTTAGTTGTCACCCAAGGCCGAATGAGAAGAAAATCAACAAGATATATCGTGTTTTATGCCAAGATTCCCAAATGGGGAAGGTACAGCATTCGAAAATTTAGCTTTTTACCTGGGCTCGAACACCGAAATAGGAAATCATAATTTCAACTTTCGACATTGAAACCATCAATTAATTGTTAAAAAAAAAGTAACTCCGAAAAGCATCGAGCCTCGATAATAAACTTTGAAACTAAAAAGTAAAATTAAAAAGTTGTACAGTTCTTGAGTTTTGCAAAAACATTTAGTCGAAACATTCAATAAAATTACTTTTTTTGTAAAAAAAAAAAAATATATCTATTCTAAATCCCAAGGTTGGTTTTTAAACTTTAGGACATTTTTTTATACAATGCCCCCCCCTACACCCACACGAAATTAATTGTCGGAAACTTGCGGAAGGCCAGATATTACACTACAGCAACCGAAACGTTGTAAAACGAAAAAATAAATAATAAAACAAGTAATCAAATTCGAAAGAATCGACAACTAGTATATTTTTAAAGTAAAATTATAATTATCGATTTGATTTGTGTGTGTTTAAAGTTTAATTTACACGCGCTAAATTCTATGATACTTGGTGATAAGTGGCAACTAAACAAATACTGAGGTCTAAAGAGAAACGTTATGTATGAAGTTTAAAGTAAATAAATGAACTATGAAGTATTTTTGGTAAATTATTTTTTATAAAGCTACACAAGCTGTTTGAGTAGAAAGTAAAAAAAATAAATAAAAGATCTTATGGAAACGCAATGACCAAGATGTACCCTTCAGTTATTTTTAACGTTTTTTTTACCTTTCCTAATTTTAATGCTGACGGTTAAAAGTTAAAAAAAGTAAAACAAAGTGATTGATACACACACGCCAGACATTTGCACCGACATAAAGCAGGAACAACCCAACCGGGGCAACGTGCTACACTGATTAATTTTTATTTATTATTTACTTCTTCAGAGTAGACAGCCGCCACCAGCTGAAATACTAACAAATATACTGTGAACAATGATGATGGAGGGAGGTGTAGGATAGAATTACAAACGGGAGCCCTGTTTTCATTATTCTCGGGACCACAAATTGAGAGAAAGTGATGGGTAAAAAGTAAAAACTAGAAAGAAAGGTCCGAAAACTTTTTTTTTATTATTATTTTTTATCGCAATCTATAAAAAGGCTCAGAGCAAAACAAATTAAACAAGTGAAAGCTACGAGGAATTTACTAAGATTGGTTGCCAATACTTGCCTCGAAGGAGAGAAGATTACAAAACAAAACAAAGGAAGGAAAAAAAAAAAAAAGAGTCGGTTTTTAGGGGGCTTTCGCTTTTTGGGAAATCACCTTTAAACTTCTGACTATTTTTACTGAGGGAAAGCAACAACGGAATTTACACAAACTGTTTCAATAGTCAATCTATTTCATCCAAAAACTGAACACTGGTAAGTGGTAATGTATGACATTTTTTAACTTAATGTTGTGCACTTTAATATTGATGTTTAAAAAAAATGTGGAATTTCTTTTTTTTTTTTTTTACTCATTCGCTTTATCAGGGAACGCATTGGAAGCAAAACAACTTTAACAACTCCTTCAATTACTCTTTTCTTTCTGTTTTTAAGTTTATAACTATGTGTAACATTAGGATTATTAAAGAATGAAGGAGCAAGAAAGTGTGTTTTCCCACGTGACAATCACGTAATAAAACTAGAACTTTATTACTAAAACTAAATTGAGAAAACTATATTTTTTTGTTATTTGCATTTACTACTGTTATCGAAATAGTTTTTACAAAACTTCTTAATGTCGTTTTCAAAAGAAATAACTACTCTACCTCGGGTAACCAGTGTGTAAATAAAAAGAATGAGGCCTTATTTATTTATTTATTTGCATTAAAAAAAAATAATAATAATAGACGTTTGTTTTACTTTTATGTTCTTTAAAAAAAGCTAGTTACAAAAAATGAACATAATCGGACGTATTTACTATTATTTTCTTTTTTTTAAGTAATTCTAGTCGGGCTTCAAGTTGCAAGCACATATAAAAAAAAAAGATGTTAAAAAACAATTTTTGCATGCTTGCTTATAGATATGCTTTTTTGTGTTTGCAATATTTATTTCATTATCAATCATTCTAAAAATGTGAAAAAGCTTTTAAAGCTGTCAGATAACTGCAAACTTCATTTGTTGAAAATGAAATTAAAAATAAGTTTTTAAATTACTTTTCTTTTTTCCTTTACGTCTTTTTCTATCTCTAAATAGCGCTTTTTTAGGCATAATATTTTTTTTTGTCGTTTTAAGTACGATTTCAAAGACTAAACTTTGTTTTTTTTTTTTTTTTTTTTTTTTTTTAGACGAGCAAGAAAAACAAAATTTATTACTTTTTTGGCGCATACAAACAAAAAATTGTACTTAATCTTAATTTTTTTTTTTTTTTTTTTACATATGGGCGACTGATTCATAATTTTATTAATTACAACACAAAAAAGTAAAAAATCCATTTTTGGCTAAACAGTTATTGATTGATTGATCACTTTTTACAGCGTAAGATAATTTAATTAAAGGTAAAGTCTTTCTTTACCTTTTTTACCTCACGCTACACATTTTTATTTTAACCCGATTGTCGCTGAAAGGAAATAAAAGAAAAACTTAACAAGACTTACTCTTACTAATTTTCTTTCAATGTTTGAAATTCACCCTATTTCAATTTTATTTTGTACTTAACACTAACAGTCATTATTTTTCTATATTTGATTCCTAACTACAGTTCGGAATGTATTAGAAAAAAAAAATTATCATTTACGATGGAAATTTTCTTTTGGTTCTAATTGGTCCACCCATAAAAAAAAAAAAAAAAAAATAGGGAAATTTTTTTGGTGGAAATAATTTTTGTAGAATTCTTTAGTTAGACCTTCTTTAGGTCGCAACACTTGCCAGAATCGAAAAATATTGATTTGTTATCGATTTAGATTAGGGGTCCAGTTTAGCTAGAGACTGTGTCAATTCGATCTCTGACTTTTTATTGTTCTGCGTAGGGTACGAAAACACTTTTTTTTGAAGTGGAGTTAAGAAAATAAAAAAAAAAAAAAAAAAAAAAAACGGTTATTCTTCTTCTTAATGAATAAACAAACGGATACATTGTTTGTTTTTTTTTATTATTATTTTAAGTAAAGAATAAAAATTATAAGTAATAAAGAAATCATATCCGTTTTTAATTCCTAATTTGTAATGAACCTTGTTTTTGTGCTTCCGAAAAAGTTTAAAAAATGTTAAAAATATAAAAACACATTTAGTAGCACTTTTTCGAAAGTGTAAATAACAGTTAAAAAAGTGACTTAGGTCCAATAACTGTAGAAATCAAGGATCCATTTGACACTGTGTCTATATTATAAACAGGAGCCCCCCCCCACTTCCTTATCGATAAAAGATCAATATTTTTCGGTTCTGGCAATTATCAATTTCAATTATTATGGCCAAAGTCTCAAGAATGCTAATGTACAAAGATTATTCACCCCCACCCAATTACCCCAGCTCATTATTTTTTTTTTTCTTAAATGAGTGGACCATTTCTACATTTCCATTTATGTCATGGCTTCTTTATTGAAAGAGGTAACATTTGCAAAACCTCCTACAGAAGGTAGCGAAGAAGAGAAAGGGATTAAGAATAAACTACAAGGAGACAGAATCCATGGTCATCAGTGAAAGGATGAGCCCAAAATGCGATTTGCAGGTTGGAGACACTAAAATCAAGCATGTGCGGAAGTTTAAATATCTGTGAAGTGTTTTGACAGAGAAAGGCAAGTGCAACACTGAGATCCGTAGACATAGTGGGATGGCCAAGGATGCATTCCAAAAGCTTGGTAGAGTATTGTGAGACAGGAGGATCTCTTTGGTAACAAAGAAAAGAGTACTCAGCTGTTATGTGACATCTGTCCTCTTTTACAGCAACAGATGTTGGATGGTCTCCTCAAAGATGAAGAAGAGACTCTAAGTGATGGAGATGTGGTTCTACAGAAGGATGCTGAGGATATCGTGGACTGAGCGTGTGAGCAATGATGAGGATGCAAACAACAAGGAGGCTTATAAACATCAGGAAGAGGCAGCTGAAGTTTCTGGGACACATAATGAGAAAGGAGGGCCTGGAGAATCTGATACTCACAGGTTGAATAGAGGGAAAAAGAGACAAGGGAAAGCAACACATGACATATCTGGCAAGCTTAAGCAAGTGGATGACAGAATGTGGTCTGGGTGGAGTGGCAGAGGGATGAAACTTATTGAGAACTACAAGAGATAGGGTGAAGTGGAGAGCCATGATCACCTACGTCCTGAAAGTACATAGCACACAAAAAGAAAGAACATTGTGTGCTCAGAACAGTTTTACGAAGTTGCTAAGTTGGGGAAAAATGATTCAATAATAAAACCTGAAAGATTTTGCTTATGCAAATCAGTCATAGAATTGATCTAGTATTGTTGATAAGTGCGAGATAGAAGGAATCAACCGTTAAATTAAGGGAAACATCAATAAAGGATGGAGAAAAAAAATAGCCAAACAGAACATCAAAGCCCAATTCCTAACTTCTTTTGCTATAAGGTAAAAAAAAAAAAAAAATCACTTTTCTGATTCATTATAAGACTTCAGTTTCTCAAAAATGGCAGGCTAGCTTGGTGACTGACTTTGGGGGTGGAGTGGGGAGAGGGGTAGGTACAATTTCCGAATACCAGTCATGCATGGTTATTTTGTATTTTTAAACAAACCTCTGCAAAGAATTTATCACTTATTTATTTTTTGTTTTGTTTTATGAAAGAATGTAAACATCAGTTCATACTTTTGGGCAAGAGTATTTGCATGTAATTGACTATAACGAACCCAACTAGAATTGGTTGTTCGATCTCCAATTCTGAGCTGTTATCTATTATGCCACCTGCACCTTTTAAGCTTACAGCACCTGGTATTCCCAAGTGGTCACCCATCTAGGTAATGACTATACTCAACATTGCTTAACTTTGGTGAGCATACAGGAATTGGTGTTTCAACATATGGCTGTAAGCCTCCATGTTTCATCGAATGCAACCATTTTTTTTTTTTTTTTTTTTTATATGTGTGATTTGAACAGTTTGTACATCTCATGCCTTCAAGCACTTTTTAAAGGGAAACCATGAATCCTGTATCCATGATTTATTACTGAATTAATACAACAGTCACTCTGCAACGGCACCAGTCCCAAACCGTAGCGACCCTGTTGTTCCTTTGGTCTCACTGGTGACATGGAGAGGAGGGATGTGCTACATGGGCAACAGCCTGTTCTCCATATCACATCGCCCTGGCTTGTATCTGACCATACCACACCGCACCAAGATACCCTGCACTACACCCAGAGATGACACTCCAACTTTGCCTTTGGCATCGATACAACACAGAGAACAGCAGTTACCATTTATAAGCTACCGCTTGATTGGCGTAGAGCACAGTGCCAAGGGTTGTTTTTGTCAGTGGGAGAGATTTTCGGATCTCATTGGACAGCTACTGCCCGCCTGAAGCTGGGCAGCCCCCAGCCAGTAAGGTGTTGTCCCGCCATGATCTGCCTTCTTTATTGGGTTCATGGAGATTAGAAGACATCTGACAAGCAGACTGCAATCTTCGAACCAAGCAACAAGATTTTTCAAAAGAAATCAGCTCTAATACTGAGCTGTTGGAACATCCAAACTATGCTGACTGGCCTCTCTGAAGACCCTGCCCAGGACATAAGTGCCTTCAGGAAAACTGAACAGTTTGGTATTGGCAAGATGAATGACAATGGCCAGAGACTGCTTGAGCTATGCACTTACCACAAACTTGTGCATAGCCAACTCCTTCAGTAACTGTGGCACATGGCCAAAAAAAAAGTGGGGAAATTGGTCAAGGTTGGTCATCACTAGCTATCTCATACCTAGCTAATTGGATTCATGATCCATTCATTCATTACAATATGCTCATTCACTATAAGAATTTATCTGTCAACATTCACTCCTTCATACATCAAAATTACATGCACACAAGACAGCTACTAGATAAAAACCACCCCATGAGTTAAAAATTTTGATATGCACATATATATATATATATATATATATATATATATAATTATGTCAATGAAATGATGGTGGTGGGGGAGATGACCTCGAAAAATGCTGAAAAAGGAAAGATGTTAGTAGGATCTGTCCACCCCACAAAAATAAGAGTGACTGTTATATTCTATCTTCCAACAAAATCAAGAGGTTCTCTAAGGGAGAAAAAAGATAAAAAAAAAAAATATGGGCATATTGTCACACATGAGCACAAGCTTTTCAGGAGCAATACAAGCCTTCAACTTGTTGACATAGTCTCAAAAGGGGTGGACGCGAGGACAATTGTAAAAGGTGTGCAAAGCTGTTTCCTCTAAGCCAAGATCACACCACTCACAGTCTGGCAAATCCACTTAGCCCCATTTGAAAGCTATGTCACTGAAAGATTGATTCCGAAATATTCACCAGGTCAGCGAAAACTCTGGTTGCTGAGATAATCTGCTGCTGGCGCACAACTCGGTCACCAACAAACCGAACTGGTTGCAGAGCAGATCCTTTGTGACCCCCTCCACTAATTCCTGATACAAGACTCTTCTCTGCTGAGAAAGGTTACTGGACTGTGGAATGACCCTCAAGGCCAACTGACACTTAAGCAGAAAATCTGACTGATCCCGGGGCTTACGATGACACTCGGCCACAGAAACAGGAGGAGTGATTGAAATGTGGCCCTCACACTCCCTTTCAGGATTGAAAGAATCCTGTATCCATATTGATTGCGGGATCATAAATTTTCTCTAGAGGCACAACTAACTCAAAATTAAATTTTGTATGTATATTGCAATGTGAAATCATGATTTTTAACCACCAAACACACAAAGATTGAGAGAACATCTCAGCAGACCTGTTATAGAATTGTCCAGATTGGAACTCTTTGACAATATTAATAAATGGAGCAAAGGTCATTGGGATAAGGTCTTTGGTGGAAATATTTAAAAAAAAAAAAAAATGCCATAGTCAGTGGGATGTTTATTTGGGACTCAAAAATAAGGCTGGAAAGACATAAAAATTGTAATACCTTAAAATTCTTATGTAGAAATAGATTAAGAAAAGATACAAAAATAAATATTTGTTACAGCATGTATAATATTTAGATTAAAAAAATGGATGAACAAAGAAAATTAGAAGGGATAATGGAGAGGATGAGAAGATACTAGCAAAAGATGAGAAAAAGCGAGATATTTTTGTTATCAGTGGAATTGACTTTCAAGAGGATGCTTCCCTGATCACTACAATCTTAATCTATTCAAGTCTAGGGTTAACTGTTATCTTCCCCATATACCATCATAAACTATACTCCTTACTGTGTAACCCTCTACCTCAAGTGACTCTTGAGCCTTGTACAAGGTGAACATTATCAAAAAAAAAAAAACACCTATGGAATTTCCATGGATTTAGCTAGTATTATAATTATTCATTACTCTACCTTGAATCATAAACTTGGTTGCTACACCATGGAGCAGTGCTGAGCAAACCAGTTTCTAAGGCCCTTTTACTTCAGTGAATTCCCCACAATTATTTGTAATTAGTTTTTAATCAACTGAAGGTTAGTGGCTGAGATAGTCACTTATTTACCTTTTATACATTTGAGCACAGGACATTGAATACAGATTTTCAAGGCAAGCCAGCAGATCTTATTTGAATGATCAACACAGTACAATCTTTCTCCTTTCAGTTGTACTATTAAACTACTAGACTCAATAAATATGATAACCAGTGACTCTAAGATAAAACTTAAGCCTAACACCTACTTTAAACATTAGTACCAATTTATTACATACTAATTTACTTGGATTAATGCCCTGACCTTGGTTTTGTAGTCACACTTCAATAATTGTGCCCTCCAGGTCTCTGTTATAGTTGGTAACCTGGGAGTTTAAACCAAGCCCTTTCTTCAATCCATTGGGATTAATTGTTTTCATTCTATTACTCCTGTTAGAGATGATCTGTCGGTTAAATCTTTAATGTAATGTTACATGTCTCTTCTGTAAAACCAAGGGATTGAACTCAAAACTACCAGGTAACTAGATCAGCTAACTTATTTAGAGTATTAAAACTTAAGAAATAAAAAATGTAATACTTAATAAAAATACCTAATAGAAAATTATTTTTTATTTTTAATGCTATCAGAATTTCCAGCCAAATTTAAATATGCCTTTTTTTCCATTTTATCTTCTTTAAACTTATCTAAAATTTAATTTTATATTGAAGAAAAGAAATCTGAAATAGCTAAGTTTTTACATTTGTAAAAAATTTCAAGATTGACAGACACCTGAAGAATGCCAAAGGGTACAATAGATGAAACATTATGATATGAACAACCAAAATGAGAACATCTCATCTCATCTCAGGAATTCAGACAGAAATCATTCACAATCTGTTTTAATGTTACCACTAAAAATGTTTATTTATTTCAAGGTTTGAATTTTTTTAAATCAATTTGAAAAATAAATAATGTTTAACAATTTAAAAATATAAAAGGAGAAATATCCCCCCCCTCAAATATGCTAGCAGATAAATGTTATGGATGTAAAGTACAGGTGTTGGACAAAATAATTGAAACACTTGTTAAATTCAAAGAAAATTTATTTAATATGGAGTTGATCCTCCTTTAGCCTCACATACAGCTTTAATACATCTAGGAATGGAATCATACAGCTTTCTGACTTCATCCAGAGGAATTTTCAGCCATTCTTCCATTAACACCTGCTCCAGCTCTTTAAGACATGACAGTGGGGGATAGCGGCTCCTAACTTGTCACTCCAAAATGCACCACAAATGTTTAATAATATTGATATCTGGAGATTGGGGAGGCCACTCCATGTATTCTAGCTCACTTTCATGCTCTTCATACCAATTCTTAACCACTCAAGCGGTATGTATTAGAGCATTATTGTCTTCGAAGGTGCAGTCAATGTTGTGAGTGGAGAGAAGAGGTTTCCATACAGTGGCTCTTCTATGATATCCAGCCTTATGGAGCTCATGACAAACAGTTTTAGTAGAAACTGGACTGTATGTTTGCAAGTAAGTTTGCTAGAGGTTTTGCCCTGTTTCTCGAATTGCGTCATAGTTCTTGATATGGTAGCACTTGAAAAACCAAGCAGTTCAGCAACCTTAGTGATCAAGGCTCCTGCCATGCAAGCTCCAACAATTTGCCCTTTTTTTAACTTGGAGAGGTCACGCATTTAGCTTAAATTTTACTAAATTCTAAAAATAAATAAAACAAAGACAGTAAATTAGACAAATAAATGTATTTACAAAGATATAACCTGCAATTAAGTTTTAGTTAAAGTTCTTGATATAATAGGTCTTTGAAATATAGGAGTAGAATTTGCACTTTTTCCCATTATTTTGTCCAACCACTGTACATTAGTGAGACACATTTTTATCAGAAACACATTAAAAGTTAACTAAATATACTAGTTGTCTCTGCAATAATGGTTAGTGGGGCTAGTATTTTTAATAAAAACTCTGTGGCACTTGAAGCATGTCATATCTGTCAATCTTGAGGCATGCAACTGCTTTTTGTCGACATGATTTTGTTATTTTTACAATATTTGCTGTATATCTAGATATTCTTGACAAAATTAAAAAGTAATGTCATTGATCCTGACCAGGTATCTAGACTTCCTTCCCTTTCTCACCAGCTTGATGTGCCTTCTTTCTGTCTTTTCTACAAATATTTTCATGGCAACTGTTCTGATGAGATTTTTTCCTTGGTGCATTGACTGCATGAATTTAAGTGTGCTACTAGATTGGCAACTAGATCTCACCGTTTTACTGTTGAACTAGCTACCATCTCTTCTATTCTTAACAGTTTCTTTTCTCTCACTTCTCACCTGTGGAACTCCCTTTGCATTTATTGCTTCCCTGACACCTACCATCTTTAAAAATTTAAATGCAACATCAATCACCATCTTCTGTTTTTTTTTTTTTG